AAGAGTAGGTGGTCGTCTCAGACGATGCCATGATTTGGAAGCTGCTGTGATACATCCAGTAGTATTGGACCCTAAACATCCAGTCACCAGACTACTCATCCGACAGGCTGACAGTGATTTGAAACACCCAGGAGCAGAGAGATTGTTTGCAGAGTTGAGAAGGAAATACTGGATTCTTCGCGGCCGTGAAGCCGTAAGAAGTGAACAGCGCTCCTGCCCTGAGTGCCAAAAATGGAGAGCCCAACCTGCCAGCCCGAAGATGGCTGACCTTCCCCTTGCACGCCTACGATTACATCAGCCAGTCTTCTTCTCAACAGGCATCGACTGCTTTGGGCCAATGCAGGTGAAGGTTGGTCGGAGAAATGAAAAACGCTGGGGCCTGCTCTTCAAATGCTTGACGACTCGTGCCATTCATATTGAGGTGTTGTCTAGCATCAACACCGACTCATTTCTAATGGCATTAAGAAGATTTGTCTCTCGTTGTGGGAAACCAGCTGAGATACTGTGTGACCAGGGAACAAATTTCCGAGGTGGGGATCGGGAGCTCCAGGAAACTTTCAAAGCCCTGCATCCCTCTTTACAAAGCAAGTTAGCAGAGCAGCAGATCAAGTTTCGATTTAACCCTCCCACTTTGGAGGATCCTGGGAGCGAGAGATCAGGTCCATAAAGGCAGCTCTGGCCTCCACATTGGGCTCGCAGGTTGTAAAAGAGGAAATACTCCAAACAGTGTTGATCGAGATCGAGGGAATGCTCAACTCGAAACCTTTGGGGTACGTGTCATCAGATGTGGCTGACCCAGACCCCATTACCCCAAATTTGTTGCTGATGGGGCGGCTAGACCCTTCCCTACCCCAAGTGATATACCACGACTCAGAGCTCATTGGACGACGACCATGGAGGACCTGTCAGGTGTTATCCGATTGCTTCTGGACACAGTTCATACGCCACTACCTGCCTACACTGCAGACACGGTCAAAGTGGCAGAAAGACACTGCTCCGATCCAGCTGGGCACTGTGGTGATGATAGTGGATCCCCAACTTCCCAGAGCATCATGGCCTGTTGGGAAGATCAACAGGGTATTCCCCGGAGCTGATGGTTTGATCCGGTCTGCAGAAGTGAACGTAAAGGACCGTACCTACGTACGCCCAGTGAGCCGCCTTATTCGACTACCTGCAGTACCAGAACAAAATGGACAGTGAACGACATTCTGCAAACTTGCGAATGCAAGTTTGGGGGCGGCTGTTCTGAAGGCAGGACTGTGATGCAGTTTTCTGCCTTTCATTGAGGGCGCGGCCGTTTTGTGAGTAATGTTTTTGACTGGGATGAAAAATGGCGTTCATGGAGTTCAGTGTGAATTCACAAGTTATGCTCGGGAGCAGTTTATGTGGGTTCAATGAGAGTGTGCGTCCATAAGACTGGTGAGTTACAGGATATTTCTTGTGTAAGAAGGATAGCCTGTATATTTTATCGCTCTGGACATCCTCTGTTTGTACATTTGCTATAAGCTAAGTTATCGCTAAGCTAAGCTAAGCGGGCTAAGCTAAGCTAAGTTCGCCTGGGCCAAACTGAGTTTGGTTTGAGTTGGTGATTTGTTATGTGTATTTACCTTCTTTAGTTGGCATCATAAGTGAGTGGGGCACAAGAGTTAAGTGATGGAAAGATGTTTATTTTCTTTGTTGCCAAATATGGTTCAGACTATAAGTAAAGGCCGCCAGCTTAGTAGTAG